TCACTGCCTCCCTGAGTTTGCTCAGTTTCATGCTCATTGCTTCAGTGATCCTATCTAACCATCTCATCCTCTGCCTCCCCCTTCTCCTTTTGCCTTTAATCTTTTCCAGCATCACGGTCTTTTCCACAGAGTCCTCTCTTCGCATTAGGCGACCAAAGTATCTGAGCTTGAGCTTCATTATCATCAATCCTTTCAATGAGCAATCAGGATTGATTTCCTTTAAGATCGAGTGGTTTGACCTCCTAGCAGTCCAGGGGACTCATAAGAGTCTTCTCCAGCACCACAGTTCAAAGTCATTTTATATTATATATCCTGTTTAATATCATATTTAAATAATTTGAATTTTCCTTTCCTATCTCTCAGCATTTAATGACTAGTGAAGAGTCTCCCATTATTGAATATTATCCAACAGAATTTAAAACTGATTTAAATGGAAAACAACAAGAATGGGAAGCTGTGGTTTTAATCCCATTTATTGATGAGGTGAGAGCTTTATTATTTATCATGTATTTGACCAGTTTTAAAAGATAATAGAAACATGTGTCCTCTTGTCCCCACATCTCTCCTCTTTTCCTCACTAATGCCACGCCACAGTATGCTCCTGCTCAGTACCAGTTTAACTCAACAGGTCTTAAATTTGAATGTTATTTCATACAAAAATAGGCAATCTGTACCAGAATAAATATCATTCAAAGAGACAATTATTTTAATATTCATTTATTTCAGTGGGACAAGTTAGCATAAGTTTAAAATAGCATATTTAGTAGATACATTGCATATGGACGTGTAGTAAATTATTCCACTGATTCCTGAGGAAACTGAATTGGCTCTGATTCAATCCAGTATTTTTAATATGTTTTTACAAGATTCTAGAAGAATATGAATACTGCATAACTACAAAATGCTGTCTTTTATTTAGAAACGATTATTAGAGGCAATGGAACCATGCAACAAATTATTGAAAGCAGAAGAAAAACAAAGAAATAGACACAGTGAATGCCTCATGTATTTATATGATAGAGATAAAGAATTCCAGTATCTATCACCATGGCCAGAGAAGTTCCCTTCCATAGAAAAGTGTCATACAAGGTAAGTCTGTAGGACTTAGTGATAAATGTAAAGGAAACTTTAAAAGTGGAGGGAGAAATGCACCACCTTGAACTTCTGAAGGAAAGATAGAATATTAATCTAACAAATCAAATAAATGAATCCACGACTGTTTTCTTACATTGCCACCTTTCATTAGGTTTGTGGGAAATGTTATTGCAAAATCCCTTTGATTTCAAAAATATGTGGCTGTGTAGGAGAGCTCTTGGCGTCAGCATTATTGTTTTGCATAGTTGTGTTCAAAGTTGTTTTGATTAGTTAAGTGCCCCAAAAATCAGTCTTCATGATCTTCCTTTAATGCCGACTAGTGGTTTGTCTGAAGTTTAATTTCTTTTCTTTCTCTCTCTCTCTTTCTGTGTTTAGGTGTAAAGCTGTGTCTTTGGATGCTTGGCATGTGGATATAGCCGATAATAAAATAACTCAATTAGATACAGAGAAGTTATATTTCTGTGGCTTTCCTACTCTAAAACACATTAATCACAAGGTAAAATGGAAGCTTTGTTCAGCTAATAGTTTATTTTTTAATGTGAGAAGCCTAATGTCTGACAGACATTTATTGTATATACTGGAAGATTATTTTTGCCCCAGTTGATTATATTTGTAAATGAGGGGGAGGGTTATGAACAGCAGATGCTCTTGAATGATAAATTATTAGAAAGGGCTAATAGAACTGTTGCAAAAAGGATACGCTTCTGAAGATTAGTTCTGACTTTAGAAGGCTACTTGCCTGGTAATATGTACCCTTTTTCTAATGTCTAACAGAGCTTCCCTCTCTTCTCTCCTGCCCTGTCCATATCTGTTTCCTCTCACTTCCTCTCTATCCAAGTTTGTTTTTTTCTTTTCTCTCCAGTGTAGCTACCTTTTCTCACAAGCCCATCTTCATCCTTCTTTTTTGTTGTTTTTGTTGAAAAGAGGAAAGAGAATGTATATAGGTATACTTCAATGCTTTTGAGTGTGAGAGTGGCTTGAATGTGTTTGAAACAGATGGATATATGGGGTTTAGTTGGCTCCCTTACTTACTGGCAGCTTGAATTAGACATAATTGCATTTTAATTTTTTTAGTCCTGGCCCTTACTATTTATTGATTGATTGACTGAAGTGTAGTTTTTGGTACATATGTATACAGTATATACATCAAAGCATACACATTATGTGCATATAATTACAGTTGCAGAAGATTCAGAGGAGTTGGTAAGTGTCCAGCTTTCTCAAATTTGCTTTGTAGAAGTAATACACTGTGTAGTTTGGATTTCAGTGTGCAGCCTTGATTATCTGAGAGTTTTATAGGTTACCTCTAATGCACCAGAGAAACCATATACTTAGACAACCAGTTTGAAAACATAATAATTAAACCCCATCTGAGAGCCTGATATAATAATTCAAGTTGTCTGAAAGTTTATTGAGATTACTCACTAACAGAGGAGCTGTATTTCAACTAAATTTAGAGGAGCACATGTAGCATTACATGATTTATCCATAGTTCTATCATATGTGAAGTTCTGAGGTTAATGAACATATTACTGAATTTGAGGCAACTGTGTATAGCATTGGGGATCGAATGCTATCATTTTGGAAATGGTATGGTGATACTCTTGTGGGCCACATTTGGGAAGAGGAAGTTTGTGAATAAAAGAATCTAGCTAGAGGCTGTATGGAGTGTAGAATGCAGATAATTAGAGACACTTGTCCTGAATACTGATTTCCATGACTGTTGATTTATTTAGAATTGAGTTGGTCTTAGGTACTAATCTTGCTGGATTTGTTTTTGGGAAGAGACATTAGACATCATGTGTTTCCCCTACATATGCTGGTGGTAATTTGTAAAACAATGTGCTGTTTTAATGCTTATTCTGAATGGTGAACATTGATTACCTTTGTATAGGAAATGCTAGCATTTGGTTGTCATCTTATTACCAGGAAAAGTCCACACTTTCACTTGCAGTTCTAGTTTGTTGACTTAAATCTATATTTGATCTGGAAAAGAAGGCAGAAGCTATGTTCATTTTGATAGATCTAGAAATAGTCTATTTCCTAGCTTCACAGAGGGGAAAATGGCCATAAAAACTAGCCAACATATCTGTAGTTCTGAGAACAGTGGTGCTATTATTTCTACATCTAAAATATGATGTGTTTGCATGTTGATCTGCATAATATTTTCATGAGTGTGTAATGTTGTGGCAATATTGCTAAGAATGTTTAAAATAAGGCATATTGCCAAAGTTTCACTTACAAATCTAAAGCATATAAAAATGGAACATATATCAAGTATGTTTTTAAAAGAATCCATTTACTATGCATAAATAATTATAAACAGAATACAAGTAGAACAAAATTTAGTTTCAATTGCTAAGTACAGGTAGTCCTCACTTAACAACCACAGTTGGGACTGGTAACTCCATTGCTAAGCGATGCAGTCATGTTAAGTGTGACATCACATGACCACTGGACTTATGACACCACTCTCCCTGCGGTCATTAAGCAAGACTTCACATGACCACTGTGACTTGTAATTTTATTGCTGGCTTCTCCATTGACTCTGATTGTCAGAAGCCCCCTGTGAAGTGCGCAAATGGCAATCATGTGACTGTGAGCAACTGTGAGAGTCATAAATGCCTGCCAATTGCAAAGCACCTGAATTTTGATCACATGACCACAATCAGATTATGACCTGTGATGGTCATAAGTGTGAGGACTGGTCATAAAGTTACTTTTCCAGCACTGTCATAACTTCAAACTATCACTAAAACAGGCAGTTGTTATGCAAGGATTACCTGTAGTCGATTTTTTAAATGTAGCCTGATGTGCAGATATCAGGATGGGTTTCTTTTGCTGCACTAAACAATTATTTTTCTCCTGTAGAGTATAGAAAAAGTAGCCAGTTTGGTGCTTGGGAAATCAATCTTTGTTAACTGGCCACACCTTGAGGAAGCCAGAGCTGTTGCTGTATCTGATGGTGAAACTAAGTAAGAGACTAATTTGGAAGATTTATTATTTACTTCTCTATATATATCTTTTAAGGCAAATCTTCAGAAGGTATAGTATTGGAACAAGAGTCTATAAGATTTTTTTTTTTTAAAAAGCTATGTTAAAACAGTAAGAAGCTCCAAGCACATCTTTCCATTTTCAACTTGTGTTGTATTACTAGCAAATTAATTTCTAGTTCAGTTTCACTTAATATCTTAAGGACATTGCCAAATGATATATGTAGCTAATGGTTGAACTGTTGGGTTCTTGTTGCTCTCTGAAGTTGGGTTGCTTTCCTGCAGACATCTCATTGCCATACTAGGTAATATCATCAGTGCATGGAAAAGTGACGTTTGCTGGTTGCTTATATATAGTAGCTTGTTCTGCTTGTCGTGGTTGGGATGTGGTGTTTTACTTTATAGTTCCTTGATTAGGATATTGTTTCTTCTCTGATTATTTATATAGGGCTGTTTCTTGCTTATCTGGGTGTTGGTTACAAGGGAGGATGTGCTCTGAGCTGTTTGTTTTCATTCTTGACTTCTGATTATGTTTTTTTTTTAAATGGCATGTACATAAGATTTATCTCTATGTGTCTGTTGATAGTTGATGTTTCACAATGTCAAGTTTCCAGGAATGCCCTAGCTTTCTTGGATTTGGTTTGACCTAAAATGTCAACAACTTCCCAGTTAAAATTGTGTTTGAACTGATCTAAGTGTTGAGGGATTAAGAAACTTTAACCATGTTTTCTAACTGCTGGTTGATCTTAAGATGCATCCTGCCAGTCTTGTACCTATTTGTCCTACATAGTCGCTATATCAATCTTTACAACTTTTTTCTTTTTTGTTACTGGGCCTTTGGGTTTGCTTAAGATGTTTTGGAGGTACTTTGTTGGTTTATGTACTAGAGGAATGTCAAGTAGTTGTGGTAGTCTGTTGGGTGTCTCAGAAGTTTTTGATGTATGGGAGAGTTATCCTTTTTACAGGTTGTGATATGACAGGTTGTTAACTAGGATTTTTTAATAAAATGGTATGTGTACCTATTACACTGGAAGATGTTGTATGGGTAGGTCTGTTTCCTCTTGTTGGAATTCTGGGTTACTGAAGTGTGTTTTTGCAGTATCTGTGTTCTTATGCAACTCCTTTTGTGGGCAATTGTAACATCACTTAACAACCAGTGGAAATCAGACAAATCATCCATCAACAGATACATAGAGATAAACCCCATTTACGTACCATTCAAAAGATATGACCAAATGTCAAGAAAGGAAGGAAACAGTCCACAGCAAATCCTCCCTTGTATCCAGTGCCCAGTTAGGGAGGAAGCAGTACCAGATAAACAATTAGGGAAGAAACAGTACCCTAATTAAGGAACTATCAAGGAAGAAACTACACCCTAACCAATACTGGCAAGACGAGCTACTATATATAAACAACCAACAACTCTCCCATGCACTGATGGTGTTACCTAGGCTGTTAATGAGAGCTCTGCAGGAAAGCAAATTCAGAGAACAAGAATCCCAACAGTGACTGAATTCAACTCTTTTGTAATGATGTTAAAACTGAGATGAAAATTTAAAATGTATTATTTTGAATTAACTGCATGCTTTTATTTAAGGTTTAACTTGGAGGAGCCTCCTGGAACCCAAAAACTATATAGAGGAAATGCTGTGCCACCAACTAAAGTAACATTTGTTGGAGAAAAGGAAAATAATATTTGGATAAAAGAAATCCAGGGAATTTCAGAACAGTAAGATTGTACCTCATCTATTTATAGCTTGACTGTATACTTTATAACAAAGTTGAGAGTGAGCAAGTTGCTTTGTGGAAACAACTCATTTAGAAATGCATGGTCAGATGTATTTTTGGCATTCAGTAACTTTGGTGAATGTGGTAAATGCCACTAAAGTCAGTGATCATAGTAAACACTTAGAGGTAATTCTCTGTTACAATATGTCATCTTATTCACATGCACAAGAAAGAACATATATCGCCCACAGCTTATTTGGAGTTCCCTAGTGGAAAATAAGTGGTAAATCCAAAGCTGGATTCTCTTAAGTGGGGGAATTGATGTAATAGCATACTCAATTATAGTTTATTGTGAAAATAAAAATGTACACAAAGGCAACATTTAAATAGGGCCACAGCTATTTAATTAACTGCATGGAAGGATCTCAGGGTGGAAAGAAGAATTATGAGTACTATATGAGAATTTTAGGTAGGAGAATATTTTAAAAGTGCAAGATGTTAGATTAGTATAAACAACCTATTGGCCATAGGTGCCAGTGTGCCTGGACACTTCCCTATTCCACTTGAATTTGTTTGTTTGTTTGTTTGTTTGTTTAAATTAGGAGGTTGGCATGTTGTAAAGCAGAGGACCTTATCTCTGACATCATCTTGGTTCCAGGAATTTCTCTAGTCCTGTATAAGCTCATAGGCATTCCTGGAAAATAAAAATGATGGATGCTTGGATGTTTTGTATATGTCTACTCCTGCCTCAAACAAACAAAAAAATGAAAAAAGGTAGTAGTGGTAAAGAAGATCCTGAGGGATAAAATGGTTGGTAGGAAGATACTTTACTTGTTTGCCTTCTGGTTAAACATTGTGATTGGTCACTTCCACTATGGCAATGATTTTATAAAAAGGTAAGCCTCTTATTCTGGCCATTTTGAGAGAGTATCCACACCATGCTTTCAGAATTTCAATTTTGTTCAGCAGCCCAGAAAGGATGCCTAGATAAACATATTATGGTCTAATTGGGATAGCATTAGAGATCTGAATATAGATAACTTGATATGCAAATACAGAGATAAACTTTATTGGCACTAGCATGAGAAGATTAAAGGGGGAAAGATTTATATGGACATTCAATATGTGCTACCACTTTCACTGTGCTGATTGTTACCTCTTGCAATTCATCTTACCTCCTGCAATTTTCTGTCCCTCCCTTTTTCAGCTCTATTTATTATTTTGAATTCTGAACTCAAGGAAGTACCATAAGGCATCACCAACTTTACAAATGGTTTTGCTAAAAATACTCTTCTCCCATGGGGAGTTAGTGTGAAGGAAATGACCTGTCTCTGCATTCTAGAGATTGCTCCCTAAGTTACAATGCTAACAAGAAATACTGTGTTAACTGTTGCTGACACTGCTAGGCCAAGTCAGATCATTAGAAGTATACTTAAAATGTCAGCAAAGCAAATAATACCTCAATAGTGAAAATATAATTGTGGAAAAAATATTAACTTTGTTTTGCTTTGCCTTTATACACTGCTTATTTGTTTGTTTCCCCCTGAAGTCCTGCTGTGCTGCCTCATTGTGATGATGGTGGTGGGTATTCCTGGGAGGGATAAGTGAAGAACATTAGGATGGTGTGCCCAGAGGATATATTCCAGCAGGGTCACCCAGGATGTGAAGGTCTTCCCAGCTGCCAATGTAAAGCAAGCAGGCACCTATATTGGGCAGCAGCAATATAGGAAGATGCTGGAGGTAGATGATCACTTTAGTGACAGTGGTAAAGGAATCAATTCATACTGCACAGAAGAAGTCAATATTAAACCAATCCTGTATTTTTACAAAGAAATCCACATGGATAGAAAATATAAAATGATTCATGATATAGTGCCGGATGATGGGCCCCTCAGGTTGGATGGCACTCAACATGCTACTGAGGAAAAGCTGAGGATCTTTTTAAGTACTAATGGTGTTTATGACGTGGCTAGATTAAAGCCTTCGGGACGTGTAATTGCTAATGTTGCCATACAGGAAAAGAAAATCCAAAGCGGCAAAGATAGAATTACAGTAGGAACATGGAACGTAAGAAGCAAGAACACAGGAAAGCTCAGCATAGTGAAAGATGAAATGAGACTACTACAAATTGACATTTTAGGCATCGGCGAATTGGGATGGACTGGGACTGAACACTTTCAGTCAGAATATCACACTGTTTATTATTCAGGACATGAAAAACAAAGAAGAAATGGCATTACTTTTACATTTAGGAAGGGTATAGCAAGAACAGTACTTGACTACAATGCAGTCAGTGACCGAATAATATTTGGACTTTGTGAACAGCCCTTTAATTTGATGATCATTCAAGTTTATGCTCCAACCACTGATGCAGAAGAAGAGGAGCTTGATGAGTTTAATGATCAAGTTAAATTTGAAGTCAACAAAACATGCAAGCAAGATGTGCTGTTTGTGATTGCAGACTGGAATGCCGAATTTGGAAACATTAAAGAGGAAAATGAAGTTGGATTTTGTGGCTTAGGAAACCAAAATGAAGCAGGAGACTGGTTTATCAATTTCGGTCACTGCAATAAATTCTACATAGCTAACGCTGTCTTCAAACAACCAAAATGATGCCTCTATACATGGACATCACCAGATAGAATATGTAGAAATCCAATTGACTATATTATTTCTAAAAGGAGGGGGAGGAACTCAATTATAGCATCAAAGACATGGCCAGGTGCTGACTGTGGAACAGATCACAAACTGCTTGTGCAAGTTCCATGTTAAGCTAAAGAAGTAAGCCAGTCAGTTTCTACAATACGATCTTGAACATATGTACACACCATTTTCAAGGAGAACATCAGGAATCACTTTGAAGTGCTGAACTTCATTGAAAGAAAACCACAGGAATTATGGAATGAACTTAAAGTTGTTGTTAAGGATGAATGTGAAAAGAGACAGCCAAAAATGAAGGCAGGCAGGCAGGCAAGCAAACTGGATGTCAGAACAAACCATAGAAATTGCCAAGAAGAGAAGAGAAGCCAAAGTTTGTCAAAGAAAAACAAAAATCTCAAAAAAATTTAACAAAGAGTTTCAAAGAACTGTTGGAAGAGACAAGAAGTAGTATTGCAACATCTGTAAAAACATCGAAGATGGAAACAGTCATGGAAAAACAAGGAAAGTCTTTCAAAAGATCTCTGAACTTTATGCTGGTCTATGACCGTAATAAAGATTTGATTTGATTTGATCTCTGAACTCATGTTCCAATCTCAAATGCTAAAGGATGCTTGTAAGGATTGCTGCATTCGGCGCTGAACAAAAACCCTCACGAGACACAGGCAAAGTCAAAAGTTAGTTTACTCAGGCATAATGCGTAGCAGTTACAGACAAAGCCAGGATTGGCTTGGCACAGTTTCTTACAGTGTTTTATAGGGTCCCCCCCTTGACCCATAGTACCCCTGGGTGCCCTTGTCCCGGGTCACCCCTCTGCTTGTCATGATCTCCCTCCCCTCTCCTTAATGGCAGATTCAAACAGGTTTCATTGTCCTCATGATCGTCGTCTTTTGTCCGTGTTGTCAGTGTACTTGTGGGGCCTTTCTCATGCACATGAAAATGGGGTTTCTTAAGTCGGGTTTCAACTGGTCGCTGATTGCCTCCGGATTGCTGTGTTCCTGAAGTATTGTAATCAGCATTGCCGGACCATCTGGGGAGCTGCCAGCGCTACAATGTTGCCAGTTCCAGTTTACTCTTGGCCATGAGTACATCATGAGAAATGCCAGGCTGGAAGAATCACAAGCTGGAATTAAGATTGCAGGGAGAATCATCAACAACCG